GGGGGAGCGCCTGGGAGGCGTCGGGGCGCTCAGGAACCATCGGGATCGGGGGCGGGACTCATGCACGTGAGTGTGTCCAGAGGGGTGGCCTCCGAAGATGATGGAACCCCCACCAGCCGGCCCCAGACAATGCTACCTCGCCCTCGATTTGCCAGAGGGCACGATGGCGGAATGTACTGGAATAGTCGATATGGACAGGTTTTGGTGTTGCCCCGCCGTATCTTCGTTTTGCAGAGAGCGTCGGGGCTCGCGATCTACTTCGGCGTGTCCGCCATGATAGACGACGTCGCTTTTTTTCAATGACGTTGAAGTCGACAGAACAGTCAGCGCGATGCCAATTCAGGCGATGACATTCGCTTCGTTCTTGCCGAATGTATTCATCGCATTTGGTTGCAGGGGCGGTGCTATAATCTGCAACCCATACCACCGCAGCATCGGGATACGTGGCTTGTATGCAACGACGACCAGGATGCGTTTGTAGATGCGCTTTTCCAGAATGCGACCTCCTTGGTTCATACCCACGCTGGTCGAGCTTGTCTCCTGTGCCGATGGCATCCGAAATTTGGTGCTGATATTGACAGGCGTGAGGGCAGAATCACCAAGCCAATCGCAAAAGAAACCGGACCCATGGACAAAGCGAGCGGAGGGGGTGCCAGACCCACCAGACCATGTGCCAGACCGTCGACATCCAGATCGCTGCGCATGGGTGCAAGCCAAGGTCACTGCCATGCGTCACGGCGGTAACCGTAAGGACGTATGGAGGAGGTGTTGAGCCGCTGGAGGGGTCCATCGATGCTTGGGTGCGCTTTTGAAGGGCGATGTTGGTCACAATCGCGGAGGCGGACGTGAAGACCTGGCCTGTTGGAGTCATTATTTTTCCCAATATAGGAGTGGAGACTGTCAAAGGGTGATTTGTATCAGCGCATGCGTGCATGGGCTGTAAGTTCGGACGGCTCCTGCAATGTTGATGAAGAGGCTTTGCCACTCCATGGCCAGCGCAAAGAGATGAAGTCAGCTCGGTGCAGAAAAGGCGTGCAGAGAGGTCCTCCAGTGTGTGACTGGCCAGCTGCCGGTCTCGCTAGGCTGGCCCTGGGAAGCAACGCGGCAACGCCGCAAGAACGTGACAGGGCGCGTGCGCGCGCCAGCCCATGCTCGCCCCTCACACGTCTGCGGGGCTTGCTGACGATCTTTTTAGTCGATTCAGTTGCAGTTTCGTAGCTCCCCCAAATACACGCGGTCTGTGTGTGGCGGGGATGGAGGGGGTTGGGCTAGGCAGAAGTTCGTGACGCTTCGCGTGCTGACATCAGCCCATGCAGAAACAATCCCCTGGCCAGTTGCCTTAATCAGGGAAGAACAGGAGCAAGCAGTGGAACGACGAGGGGTGGCAGCCTCAGTAGACCCAGGAGTCAACCATCTATACTTTCTTGGAATCTGATTGTGGCAACCTTGGGGCCATTTTTGAAGCCATTTAGGAGGCCCTCCTTGAACTCTCTTCCATCTCAGGGGTCTCCGGGGTCCTGCTGGGACGATCCAGCACGCCATCTATCAACACGGACGCGGGGCTCATTATGCCCCCCGTCGGAACCCGAAACGTCGTCTCCTAGGGCGTTTTTGTGACGCTTTTGGGGCGTCCTTGGGTGCCCTTGGGACTGTCTTAGCGCCTCTGTGGCTCCCTCTTGGGGCTCTGTCGGGCGATTCTGGGGCTGGAAGCGAATAAGAGGTACGGCCACCACCATTCAAATCAACAATGGGTTTTGCAGGATGTTGGCGTTTCGGAGCTCTTATTGGAGGCTCTTGGAGGCATGCTGGAAATCAACTAATTATATTGAGCCATCGTGGGCTCTCTTGTGCCATTTCGGGATCCATTGGGCTATCTGGGCCATCTTGGAACCATCTTGGGCCATCTTGGACGATGAATCCCTCGCACTTCCTCTGTCCCGACCCGAAAGGAGGGTAATTAGGGTGTAGGGGTCGGAAGAGCGATGCAGCTAAGGCACATCCGCCCACGGGGCTGGTGGGTTTATGTGGCCTGGCCTCGGACTGTCCGAAACTACAGTCTGGGCTGCCTGTCGGCCGAGCATGAAGGGGGAGGGGGTCAAGGTCGCCCTGATCGCGCATGCGGTCGACGAGCATGCAGTGGTGCGTCGCAATCCCATCTGCGCCCAAAGCGGGGTGCCGCCGTAGGCACCAGCGGCTGCGGACGCGCGCCGCGCGCACCATGAGGGTCGCTGCTGCCGCAGCCCTGGCCACCGCCGCTGCCTCCATGGAGGCCCTGTATTCCTGCTTCCCTCCTCCGGCTCCTCCCTAACTGGGGTGGGGCAGGTACAGTCCTTGAGGCCGACATCAGCCCGATTAGTGTCAGTTTTTCTGTGGGTGCGGGCAGGCTGCGGCCCGCGCTGTAACCAGCAACTCGCATTTCCTGGGCTTCGTGGGGGAGGGTGCGAGGGCCGTGGGGACGACGAGCGAGTGGTGACCAGCGCTCAGAGTGCCGAGCGTGCCCCGAGCAGACAAAGGGAGCCTTCCCAAAGTGAGCTCTGGCAAGATGGCCCCATTCGGCTCCACAATCTCCTTCGGGAAAACATTGCGATTTCAAATCCTGTGCGGCGCATCCTGCATCAGTTTGAGCGTCAGACTTACACGATCGTTGATAGTGGCGCCGCTTCGAGCCTGTGTCCGCTTCCCGCTTCCGAAGCTGCGCCATCTCCTCAGTTCCCAAGGTTCCCCAGTTGGGTTCAAGGGCTTGCTAGTTCCGAGCTTATTTGTGGCCCTGGGGTACCTTTGGGGTGCGGCCGTGGAGTATCTTAGGGCCCTGGGGCCAGGAGAGGCCAGGCACGGAGGGCAAGCTTTCTCCTCTGCTGTACACTGCCTGGTGGGTCCCTGGTCCCTGGCCGCGCCTCCCCGCCACGACCGGGGCTTTCAATCAGCCGCTCGGTGTAGAAGCCTTCGGAAACCGAGGCAGGACTCAAGTGAGCTTCCACGTCCGTTTCTCCATCTGATCATGTCTTGGTCTCTGTTTCCGTTTCGGTGTCCTCTAGTGCCAGTGCTTCTGTCTCTGTCTCCTGTTTTTTGTTTCAGTTTTTATATCCGCCGTCACCTCCGTTTCTGAATCTCTATCCGTCCCTGTCTGAGCCTTGATACTTGTCCTCGCCGCTCCATGTCCGTGTCTCGTTCTCCTTCCCTGCTCTTGTTTCTGTTCTTGTCTCCCTCCCCGTCGCTGTATTCGTCCGTCACCGCCTTCGTCTTTCGAAGTATCAGTCTTCGTGTCCATGCCTCCTTGTTGTTGTGGGCTGCATGCCATATTCTCCAACTTGGTGTTCATTGCGTTTTGTCTTCGTGCACGTGTCCAGACTTCGTTTCGGTTCCCCTCACCCTCTCGACTCAGATCCGTTTCAGTTACTGCCTTTGGTTCTGTCGCTTGTATTTGTTCTTCGCCGCCCTGTCTCTTTCTCTCTCTCTCTCTCTGTGTCTCCGTCCCTCCGTCCCTCCATGTCTGACTGTCTGTCTATATGTATCTACATCTGTATACACGTATATCTATACACATACATATCCGTAAAGGCTTCGCCCCCTGCCGCCAGCCCCCTCTTTCGGATAATGGGCAATGCAAGAGGGAAATCATGAGGCCTTGGCGCCGCCCTGAAGCAGCGTCGGGACTGCACGCGAAGACGATCAGCAATCGGGGTCGCAAATATTGCGTCATTTACGCAGGTTTATGGCTTTGGAGACGCGAACATGGCGTAATTTTCGAAGGTTTATGGCTTCGGGGACGCGAATTTTGCGTGATTTAGAAGCGTTTGTGGCCTCGAGGACGCAAGCATTGCATAATTTATATGGCGTGTTTTGCAAGGGCTTATGGCTTCGGGGACGCGAATATGGTGTAATTCGCGGGGGTTTATGGCCTCGGGGATGCGAACATAGTGTAATTTACGAAGGTTTATGGCCTCGGGGGCGCGAATTTCATGTATTTTTAGGTGTCCCACGCTCCCCCCCAGGAATTCAGAGCACTCGATTCGGGTGTGGTAATCCGGACGCTTTTTGGCTTCCCCCCCCTCGCGCGGTCAGTAACAATTAATCGTAGGAAGCAGAACGTGGAACTATCACATTGGAAACTGGACACTGGAACTGGTGCATGGAACAGCAAACCTTTGCCCTACAGCCTTGTTGCCCCGCAAGGGGACCGAGACTTTCGCAGCCGAGCTCACGGAACACCTGTTCCTCGCTGCAGTTTCCTCGTTCGGCACGTTCAAAGATACCCCACGAAAGCCTTGGATTTCAACGGATGCTTGGTCAATCGTGCGTCTTCTGGCACCTCTTCGCCGGGTCGCCAGTGATGCTCGTCGTTCTTCTCTCGAAGCATCTCTGCGCACCTGCTTTTGTGCATGGGCCGGCCAAGTTCATCAGGAGTTCTTCCCCTCTGATCGTCGTTGTTCGCCACCCGGTACACGCCTGGGCTGGAGGGCGACGTGCCGCCTAAGCTCTTTTGTGCGAGAGTGCCATGTTCTTCGCCTTGTGTCGCCTGCTGCTTGGAGTGTGACCAATTCTACGCAGAAAATGATCAAGCCAGCCATCGCAGCCGACCGTGCCAGATTTGTCTCCCCCAAGACCGCTGAGGCGCACGCGGCACTTCTCCAAGGCGATGACCAGACATCGTATGCCATTCTTCGCGGTCTGAGCGGGCGCTTCACCTCCAAGGAACCACAACATTTGCAGAAGCCCGCCGTAACTCTGACCAGCACAGAAGATGAACGTCAACAGCGATGGCTCGAAAATTATACAGATTTTTCAAAGGCGTCCCTATGACCCTTGATCGTCTTCGCAGTATCCCTCTTGACCCCCCGCGTGACGACTACCACATTGATGAGTCCCCTACTCGCGTGGAGGAGGCTTTGAGGCGCCTGAAGTCGAGTCGCGGCGTCGGCCGCGACGGGCTCGCAGCGGAAGTCCTTCGCGCTGGTGGTGGTGCCATTGCCGCCAAAGTTTCTGAGCTGTACTAGTGCGTCATGTCCTCTGAGGTTTGGCCTTCCGGGTGGTCTGGGAGCCGCGTGGTCGAGGTGCACAAAAACAAGGGCTCCAAGCACATCTGCGACGTATACCAGGGCATCCACCTCGACAACCGTTTGAGCAAGGGCTTGAAAGAAATCCTGAACGACGACATCAAGCCAATGTATGAGGCCAGGATGCCTTCGTGTCAGATTGGCGCTGTGTCTCGACGCGGCACCGACTTCGCGTCTCACGTGGTCCCCACTTTTATCGATTACTGCAAGCTTCTACAGCTGTGCACGTTCATCCTCTATATGGACTGGTCGAAGGCCTTCGACAAGGCTCTGCGCGAACTTGTTGTGGGCATCCCAGCGGAGTGCGATAGCCCCACAGTGCTTCGCGAAATTCGGCCAGCAGGAGCACCAGGTGTCTTGGCTCCTGGAGTTCGTCTCCGTCCTCGGCCCTCTGATGCAGCAGTGGGGCGTCCCCGCCAAGGTCGTGCGATTCGTCAAAAACCTCCACGCCAGGAGTTGGCTTAGCTACGGCGACCTCGACACCGCCATCAGCGTCCGCCTTGGCGGCAAGCAGGGGTGCAGGTACGGCAGTACCATTTTCAACGGCGCGTGCTCTGCTGGTCTGGTGCTTCTTCGCGATGCGCTTCTTCGTGCCGGTGCCGTTCTTCGCGTACGGCGTCAATGTGCTGATTTTGTTTCTCCTGCGGAGGCGAGGTGCTCGATGACGCCACCATCCCACTAGTAGATGTGGCTTTTGTCGGCGATGAGTGTCTGATGCTGTGTGCTAAGACTGCTACTTCTCTGGATACTCGTATTGCTATTCGTCTGAACTCTTCGAGTGGGTTTTTCAGGTTGCTGCATTTCGACATCAATTGGAAGCCCGGCAACACTGAATGCAGCATTGTTTCTCGTGGCCGCAATGCCGCCAAACATTATCAGGCTCGCGGGCTTGGCCCAGATGGCTCTTCAGTGGTACGCGTCCCAGGCACTGCGACCAACATTGCCGTCGTCCACCAGTACAAACACCTCGGCGGCGTCACCGATATCGACGGCAACAACGTGATCGAAGCCCGGGTTCGGTCATAAGCAGCCGCGAAAGCCTACAACCCTCTCTCGGTACGCGTGTTCGGCAACAGTCTCTTCCCTTTAGACGAGCGTTGGAGCCTTCTCCGTTCGCTAGTATTTTCGCGTTTTTCTTGTAACGCTCATCTCTGGGTGTGGTCCATTGTTGTTCTACGTGTTCTGAATGCGTGCTATATGAGGTGCCTTCGGCGTCTCGCTGATCAGTGTCGGTTCGGCCCTGGCTCTTCGGATCTAGAAGTGCGCCGCGCGCTCAAGGCACCATCTGTCGATTGTGTCCTCAGATGTAAGCGCTTAGTGTATCTTGGTAGGGCCGTCCGCCAGGGTCCCGGCGAGCTCCACTCACTCCTCGCTCCGTGCCCTCCCCTTCCTCGCCTCCCCTGGGTGCAGCTGGTGCTGTTGGATCTACAATGTTTGTGGGGAGTGTCGGCTCTATGCTCAGGTCTGCCTGACCCTTCCGAGCTATTCGCCCCGTGGGTCGAGTTCATCGTAGGGTTTCCAGCTCGATGGTCTCACGCTGTCATCTGTGTATTCTTCCCAGAGTCGGTGTGCGACCTCGGCACTCCGTTCTCCTCCCGGGCAGGCCTTCTCATTGTTTCTTTCAAGTGTGACCTGTGCGAGTATGCTTTGGCCACTAGCAAGGCGCTGCGTTCTCATCGCCGCACAAAGCACGGCGCTCGTGTACCGCAGCGTGCGTTTTTCTTGCCGACGGCACGTGCCAAGTCTGTGGCACTTGCTACCAGTGTCGCTTCCGCCTGGTCGCACACTTCTGCGATTCTCGCCGCCCGCGTTGTTGGGCAGCCATATGCCCTAGGCCAGCGTCGTCTGTACAGCTTTCACCTTCCGAGTGCGCTCGTCCCGACAGCATCGACAACGTGATGCGTCGTGAAACCCGCCGCTGTGGCCATTCGCACGCCTTGTCCGTTGGGCAGTCGTTCAAGTCTGGCGGACGAGCTACAGGCCGCTGCACCCGTTAGCGCCTGTGCCCTGCGCTCATCTCACTAATTAGTTTTGCGGCGGATCCGATCCACGCCTCGAGGAATATATATATATATATATATATATGTGTATATATATACATTATATATACACACTCATATATATCTGTACATGTCTCTGGCTCTTTCTCTATATATCTATCTCTTTTCTTGTTAATGGTTTTTCATTATCATTTTTTCTCTCATCATCCGCACGCTTGTCTGCTGCTTATGTCCATCATCCGCCTTGTGTGGATATAGAGATAAACGTTTGCGATCTCTCTCTCTCTCTCTCTCTTTCTCTGTTTCTCAGTCTCTCTCTCTCCTTCTCTCTCCCGTTTTTCAATGTACTTACACTTGCATGTATGTGTGTGTGTGTGTTTGTACACATGCTTATGTTTATGTATGTATTACTAGATATGTATTAACCCTGTCATACATGTATGTATATATGTATACGTGTATGTATGTTGTCGCTGTTTCTGCGGCTGTCGTTGCTAATTACCTAACAGCGAAGACTGATAGGTTTCTAGTAGTGTCAAAAGAGCTCACAGATCACTCCACAGGGGGGTCCGGGCAGGTGTTGGGAGTTGCCGGGCGGGTTGTGTCCACCTCGTTTTTCACCAACAGTCACACACTTCGTGCTCTTCGACTTCCCAGAACTCCATTCCCAGGCTCATTCTGAATAACCGGATGCAACAGTCACACACTTCGTGCTCTTCGAGATCCCAGAACGCCATTCCCGGGCCACCTTTAGAATAACCGGATGCAACAGTCACACACTTCGTGCTCTTCGACATCCCAGAACGCCATTCCCGGGCCACATTCTGGAGGGCCGGATGCAACAGTCACACACTTCGTGCTCTTCGAGTTCCCAGAACTCCATTCCCGGGCCACATTCTGGAGCCCGGAGCCAACTGTAGGCCACTTCGTGCTCTTCGAGTTCCCAGAACTCCATTCCCGGGCCACATTTTGAATGCCCGGAGCCAACTGTAGGCCACTTCGTGCTCTTCGAGTTCCCAGAACTCCATTCCCGGGCCACATTTTGAATGCCCGTAGCCAACTGTAGGCAACTTCGTGCTCTTCGACTTCCCAGAACTCCCATTCCTGGGCCACATTTTCAGCAGGGGCAAGAGCACGACGAGGAGGAGGACGAGCAAGACCAGGAGGACGAGGACGAGCAGGAGCAGGACGAGGAGCAGGAGGAGCAGGAGAAGAAGGACGAGCAGGAGGAGGAGGAGGACGAGCAGGAGGAGGAGGACGACCAGGAGGAGGGACGACCAGGAAGAGGAGGAGGAGGAGGAGGAGGAGGAGGAGGAGGAGGAGGAGGAGGAGGAGGAGGAGGAGGAGGAGGAGGAGGAGGAGGAGGAGGAGGAAGGAGGAGGAGGAGGAGGAGGAGGACGAGGACGAGGAGGAGGAGGAGGAGGGGGGGGGAGAGTACCAGGAGGAGGAGAACGAGGACCACCAGGAGGAGGAGGAGGAGGAGGAGGAGGAGGAGGAGGAGGAGGAGGAGAACACCAGGAGGAGGAGGACGAGCAAGACGAGGAGGACGAGAACGAGGACGACCAGGAAGAGGAGGAGGAGGAGGAGGAGGGGAGGGGGAGGACTACCAGGAGGAGGAGGAGGAGGAGGAGGAGGAGGAGGAGAGGAGGAGGAGGACGAGGAGGAGGAGGAGGAGGAGGAGGACGAGGAGGAGGAGGGGGGGGGAGAGCACCAGGAGGAGGAGAACGAGGACCACCAGGAGGAGGAGGAGGAGGAGGAGGAGGAGGAGGAGGAGGAGGAGGAGGAGGAGAGCACCAGGAGGAGGAGGACGAGCAAGACGAGGAGGACGAGAACCAGGACGAGCAGGAGGAAGAGGAGGAGGAGGAGGAGGAGGAGGAGGAGGAGCAGGAGAAAGAGGAGGAGGAGGAGGAGGCAGGCTGAGGCTGAGGCTGTGACTGCGACTGCCGTTGCCGCTGCGACTGTCATCGCGAATGCGACTACGACTGCGAGAACAGCAGAATTCGACAACTGGATTTTCATCTGAGTCTTAAGGGGAATGCTTTCAGATATGCTTCTACACATCGCTGTTAGGTTGCTTTGCCGGGATAATTTTTATTCTCAAAGACTAAACATGGTTGATCCTCCTCCTCTGCTACACTTCGAGTTCTTTAAACTGAGGTGACCTTCCCAGGGCTCACACCCATATTCTTACAAGGGGAAGTCTTGCGCCTCAGACTGTGTCTTTGTCCCCCGGTGTACCACAATAGCAACTCCTGCCTTTCATTTTACCTAACAGCGAAGACTGATAGGTTTCTAGTAGTGTCAAAAGAGCTCACAGATCACTCCACAGGGGGGTCCGGGCAGGTGTTGGGAGTTGCCGGGCGGGTTGTGTCCACCTCGTTTTTCACCAACAGTCACACACTTCGTGCTCTTCGAGTTCCCAGAACTCCATTCCCAGGCTCATTCTGAATAACCGGATGCAACAGTCACACACTTCGTGCTCTTCGAGATCCCAGAACGCCATTCCCGGGCCACATTTAGAATCACCGGATGCAACAGTCACACACTTCGTGCTCTTCGACATCCCAGAACGCCATTCCCGGGCCACATTCTGGAGGGCCGGATGCAACAGTCACACACTTCGTGCTCTTCGAGTTCCCAGAACTCCATTCCCGGGCCACATTCTGAGGCCCGGAGCCAACTGTAGGCCACTTCGTGCTCTTCGAGTCCCAGAACTCCATTCCCGGGCCACATTTTGAATGCCCGGAGCCAACTGTAGGCCACTTCGTGCTCTTCGAGTTCCCAGAACTCCATTCCCGGGCCACATTTTGAATGCCCGTAGCCAACTGTAGGCAACTTCGTGCTCTTCGACTTCCCAGAACTCCCATTCCTGGGCCACATTTTCAGCAGGGGCAAGAGCACGACGAGGAGGAGGACGAGCAAGACCAGGAGGACGAGGACGAGCAGGAGCAGGACGAGGAGCAGGAGGAGCAGGAGAAGAAGGACGAGCAGGAGGAGGAGGAGGACGAGCAGGAGGAGGAGGACGACCAGGAGGAGGAGGACGACCAGGAAGAGGAGGAGGAGGAGGAGGAGGAGGGGAGGGGGGGAGGAGTACCAGGCGGAGGAGGAGGAGGAGGAGGAGGAGGAGGAGGAGGAAGAGGAGGAGGAGGAGGACGGACGAGGACGAGAGGAGGAGAGGGGGGGGAGAGTACCAGGAGGAGGAGAACGAGGACCACCAGGAGGAGGAGGAGGAGGAGGAGGAGGAACACCAGGAGGAGGAGGAGAGCAAGACGAGGAGGACGAGAACGAGGACGACCAGGAAGAGGAGGAGGAGGAGGAGGAGGGGAGGGGGAGGACTACCAGGAGGAGGAGGAGGAGGAGGAGGAGGAGGAGGAAGAGGAGGAGGAGGACGAGGAGGAGGAGGAGGAGGAGGAGGACGAGGAGGAGGAGGGGGGGGGAGAGCACCAGGAGGAGGAGAACGAGGAC